TTTTAGGGGCCCCAAATTAGAATTCAATAGAATATTTAATAAAATTATAAAATTTAAAAAAGATCAACAAGTAGCCTAAAGAATTAAAATTTAAAAAGAATAACAATTAATAAACTATGTATAGGCCTATAACAATAATAATTTCAAATAGTCTCTTGGGTTGCTTTTTTTTTTATAAATAAAATCAAAAAACATAACGACAGTGGGTAACTTGCGGTAGTGCGGTTGGGTTTTGGGCCAGGTCTAGAAGTTCAGCACCGGAGGGGGAACCAAGCAGGTGAAGCAGGGCGGAGAGGGGGCCAAGGTCTACGAGGCAGCCATGAGTTACAAATTTCCTCCGCCAAGGTCGAAACGGTCCAGTGCATAGTCCTCCTCACGGGCCCCAAAAGGCGCGCGTGGCGCGATAAATTTACACCATTGCGTAGCAGAACAAAAGTAAAGAACAATTAACAAAACTGCTTTGCAAAAAATAAAGCATAGAAACAGATGTTAAAGGATAAATTTGTTCTGAAAATCCTCTGCGAGGCAAACGGCTCTCACGTCGCTGAACCTATGAGTTGCTGGCGGAAAGAGTAAGAAAAACAAGACTCACAGCCTTGTTCGGGGTCGTGAAAGTGACAACGAAACACTGAACTAGCCTACTATAAAAAAAAAAAACTTGAACCATTGATCATGAGTCGTGACATTCGCCCGGTGGAAATAGTCACGGCTCAACATATATATATATTTAAATATATATATAAATATATATATATATATGAATTTGAACGGATGGTGTTTTTGGCCTCTAGGGACCTCAAAACGAAAAAAAAAATCGGTCCCGCGTCCAGGTCTTACCATGAGTACTACAGTAATAGCTTATTCCCTATATGGGAAATTCGCTAAAAAAATGATTAAAATTTTGATCTTAAATGTTTGCTTTTACACTTTTTATCCTCTAAATTTGCACCTGAAAAAAAATCTGTTGTTTTGTGCAGAACTCCTAGACTAAATACACTATCTTTTCCAAATTTCCCATAAGAAAAAAAACTTGGTTTTCCCGGTCTCAATTCCTAGTCTCCAAGGCGTGTACCTTATACTAGCAGACTTCGGGTCCGAAAACTCCATATTTTCGGGTCTGGTCAGACCAACGGTTGGCACGAGAGATTCTTACGGGCATAAAATGATTGTTGGTCCAAGATTGGATTTAGTTGAGCCGAACCGAGCGCAAACTTCTGCGTCTGTGGAGAGCGTAATACGAAGATGCGCGATAGAAAATTGACTATTTTACAGTGATCGTGGAAGACAATGATGTCCCGTGACCACGGAAGATGTCTAAGATTTTTGTTAACCCCGGAATATGATCATGATTTCGTCGGGACTACTGAAGATATTCTAAATTTTTCCATGCCCACGGAAGACGTTCTCGATTGACTGCGGAATGTGCTCGATCTGACTTTGTCCTCGGAAGATGTTCTTCATTTTGAGGTGACCTCGTAGAATGATTTTGATATTGATGTGACTGCGGAATATGTTCTTGATTTTGTCGCGACCGCTGAAGATGTTTTTGATTGTGCCATGACTGTGGAAGATGTTCTCGATCTTGCAGTGACTACGGGACATGTTCTTGATTTTGCCGCGACCTCGGAAGGTGGTTACGGTTTCACCGTTTCCATGTATGACGATTGCATAATTTCACTCTGACTGCAGATTAAAAAAGGTTTTCCCAATGTGAGTTCAAAATTCCCGCATAGTTCCTGATTCAATAAATTTACGCAAAAATCCCGGAATTCTTAGTCTGTATGGTCACCCTTGTAAGGTCTGAAAGGGGAGGATCAAGCCCCCTCTTGCCCATATGTATGGACGCCCATGGACATAAGTATTTGATTTTGAGTACTGGTATACTCAACACATATAGCATGTATATTTTTACCTTGTTCATTCACCTTTTTTATCGCCTATGATCTTAAGTAGTTTGTATTCACCAATTCACCCAATTGAATACAAAAAAGATGAACAGGCAACAATAAAGATGTATAAAATTATTCATGTTCTTAAACCTGGAAACCTTTGAGGAGCGAAGTTCTCCCACCACTTTTTTCTGGTTGCTGTATGTATGCATGCAGCTGATTGATGTGTTGACAAATATCAGCTGTTTTAATATGGCAGGTTCAAGACGTGGAGGGGATAGATTTCTTCCCCTGAAACCACCTAAATATTGTGAACTGAGTATAAATAAATAGATAAATTTTGTCAAAACTGTGAATTTTTTCACCCTCCATAATTCTTTAGTTAGGTACACACTTCATAGGCGTTTGATTGTTGAAAATTAAAACAAATGTTTTAGGATTCAGTGCAACCTCAGAAAGGTAACCAAAATGCATTAGAAGTCATCGTACTAATATTATAAGTGAGAAAGTTTGGATGTATGGATGGTTGTATGGATGTGGATGTATGTATGGATGGATATATGGATGTTGATGTAATGGATGAATGGATGGATGGATGGATGTTTGTGACAAGTAAATGCAATAAATACTTGTCGGTTTGAGCTGAAATTTGGTGTGAAGATAGCTCACATTCCTGATTAACATATAGACGCATTCTTATCTCAAAAATCCTTTTGGGCTCCGCCCCAGTGGCTCTGGAGTTTCCCACGTTAATCTTATGAATATTCATCTTATTTATAAGGAACTAGCTGGCCCAACAGAACAGACGTCGTCCTGTCCTAATGTGGTTTTATGTCAAATACTCGTTCATTTTCAAGATGAGCTCGTTCGCTGCGCTCACTTTCCTTCAGGTTTAGCTCGTTTACTACGCTAACTCGCCTCCAGGTTGAAATACTTTCCCTAGGCTCATACTTTCCCTAGACATTTGGGTTGCAAATTAGCTGTTGTCATAAATTTAAAAAAATAATAGTGCTGCACCCTGTTGGTAAACCTATTAACTTTTTAATGCTATTGAACATCACAGAATCAAATTGTTTAGTTGAACCAGCTGTTAAGATTCTTTAATTTCATTTGAATATAAGTACTCCTAAGGTTAACATGGGGAAACTCCAGAGCCACTGGGGCGGAGCCGATTGGACGGATCACGAAATTGATGGTGTATAAACCTATTCCATGATATTCTACACGTATGTACCAAGTTTCGTGACAATGGGTTCAACGGTGTCTGAGCTCATAACGTTCAAACATACAAAATTCCTCTTTTATAAATATAGACTAGCTGAACCCGGCAGACGTTGTCTTGACTTTGACTATTTATAATTTCAGTTCACTCACCTTTAGGTTGGAGCTCGTTCGCTACGCTCACTCACCTTTAGGTTGGAGCTCGTTCGCTGTGCTCACTTGTCTTCAGGTTAGCTCGTTCACAACGCTCACTTGCCTTCAGGTTAGCTCGTTCACTACGCTAACTCGCCTCCAGGTTGAAGTTCGTTCGCTATGCTCACTCACCTTTTGGTTGCAAATTAGCTGTTGTCATAAATGTAAAAGAAATAATAGTGCTGCACCCTGTTGGTAATCCTTGTAACTTTAATGCTATTGAACATCATAGAACAGAACCAACTTGTTTAATTGAAACAGCTGTTAAGATTTATTAATTCCATTTCTCATAAGGTTAACATGGGAAACTCCAGAGCCACTGGGGCGGAGCCGATTGGACGGATCACGAAATTGATGGTGTAGAAACCTATTCCATGAAATTCTACACGTGTGTACCAAGTTTCGCGGGAATTGGTTCAGCGGTGTCTGAGTTTATCACTGCCAAATATATATATATATACAAACATCCTCTTTTATACTTATAGATAAAAGAATTTTGTCAACTGTTTCAACTACACAAGTTGGTTCTATCATAAACCAAAAAGATTTAAATAAAGACCATCAGCCGTGCTGCGGTTACCATAGGATCTGACACACACTGCTTGGAGCGCCATGCAGTTACGGCATAAGCGCTAAGTGAATACACGGCGCTCCCAATGTTGTACGCCAGAACCTATGGTAACTATGGTAACCACAGCACGGCTGACAGTCTATATTCAATTCTTTTTGTCCATGGTTCTATGATATTAAATAGCATTAAAAAGTTATAAGGTTTACCAACAGGGTGCAGCAATATTATTTTTTTTGCATTTATGACAACATCTAATTTGAGCCAACTACCTACAAAATGCTGTGAAAAATGAGAATTTCACTTTTAGCGAATTTCCCATAGGGAATAAGCTATTTTTTTTACTTATTGTTTAGGGGCAGTGCTAGAACATTATGGCTATAGTAGATGTGCTAGCATACCGTAAATTAAAAGAACCAAATTTTCTTAAACCGTGTCCTCTCCCATTGCAAACGCAAAGCACAAGTATAACTGCAATAAGCATTTTACTTATACGCCAACCCCTGTTGGAAGGACAGGTACTCTGCAAGTAGAATAGAAAAAATAGAAAATAAACGGTATCAGCATTCTGACACATACTTTCTCCCAAGTTTGTCAACAACCTTTATCATGTGTAAGCAGTGAGAGTAAATATACGGAAATCGGATTTGTACAGTTTTGTTCAGAATTTAAAGGACTATAACATACTAAATTTTTATCAAAATCGTTCGGACCATTTTTTAGAAAATCAATTTTTTCTGTTATTTTATGGGGCTTTTATGGGAAAATAAAATAATTTTCAATAACTTTTGAACTATAATTTTTACAAAAATGGGATTTGTACCATTTTGTTCAGAATATAAAGGACTATAACATAAAAGTTTGCAAAATTGTCAAATAAATTATATGCTAGAGTGGTATTAAATAAATCCAACAATACCTAAGTAATTCGTGAGAAAACTGTACAAAATAACAAAAAAACAATGGTGGGGAAGGGTTCTAATGTGCATGTGCATTCTGTTCGACACCCTAAATGATCATTCAATCTACTGATGCTGCGATAATGTTGTACCATCACTTGATTACTAAATCTGGTATGTTTGCTCTTATGAAATATATATTGTTAAAACTCGTCTTTATTTTTGTTTTAGTATAAAATGGAAGAGCCCAGTTTGTTGAGTCTACCTCAAGAAGTCCTGATACACATTGGTAGTTTCCTGGACCTGCAGGACCTTCTGGCCTGTTCGGGGACTTGCTCTCAGCTACGCTCGGCTCTCAATGACAACTGGTTGTGGCGAAGACAATGCAGGCCTAGCGTCATCAGCTACATAAACACCAGCAATAGTATCGTCAGTCCTGCGTTCCAGTACACAGAGATCGAAACTTTGGAACCACTCTGCCTCGAACGAATAAATCTGCTTCGGCAAAACCACCTGTTGAGCAACTGGAGACATGGAAGATCAGTAAATCATGAAGCACAAACCTCTGGGAACGGAATCTTTCTGGAGAACAACGACCGACAAATCATCTACGACAACATTTATCTTTTCCTCCACGTCATGAGCACCAATGAAATAAACATTTGGAACATTGAGAACGAGCCATACTTGTACACCACTGTAACATTCAACCTCTACGAGTACAACATGGAGGACGAAGACTGGACAGATATCGTGAGAGTTTGGTATCAAATTGTGGGTGACAAGCTGGTGGTGATTCAGGGAAACTTGATTCAAGTTTATGCAATTCACCTGCCAAATAAGGATGTTCCGTTGAACCATTTGATTTCCATCGACAGAGATGCAGCTGTTCTGGACTTCCAGGAGACTTTGTATACAGATTGTTACAGTTGGATTGTAGGGCATTTGTTGTTTTCCAGACTCTGTTATCTTCCTGTTGTACATGTGTGGGACATCACAACGGGGGAGAAGATCAGAGCTTTACGAGCCCCCACAACAGGATGGGACTTGTACGTGATTTCATTAGACGATGTAAAAAACGTAATTTTTAGTTTAAGAACTGACGACCCTTTCTCAATGGGTCCTGAAGATTATTCTAAGATCACGAATCACATCTCAAGCTACAACGTAGCCAAAGATGAGTTTACACCGATATATCCCAACCTGGCAGGCTGCAAGCCAGTTCATGCTATGCACTATAGGAGCTATGTAGTGTTGTTTTGTATCGATGATATGTTCATTTTTATATGTTCTATTTACGTTTACGACTTTAAAACTTGTACGACAGTGGCACACAGAACATTTTCTGATCTTGTAGGGTTGTACAAGTCACGTATCGTAGAAGACCGTTTAGTTTTAGCTTCTCAAAGCTCAATTGATATTTTGGATTTCACTAGCTTAAATGCCCTGCAAAGCTTAAAAATCGAAGACATTATTGACATTGATTATTTTCCAGTTTTTAGTTCAACGTTCATTGTTACTTCCTCTGTGAAAAGTGAAATTGAAGTTTGGGATATAAACAAAAGTGAGGTAATTCTGAAAATTCCTCTTCAAAGTTTTGTATTTTTAAACGATTCTTGTTCTAAATTGGTTGTTGTATCTGGGCAAAAATTGCTTGTGAAAACATTTTGGTAATACAATGGAATTAGAAGAGGGATTGAAGGTCATCAGTTATGTATCTAATTTTAAATTTAAGCTTTATTCACTAAGCTGTCACTTTCAAAACTATGAAAATAGTCTAATTTAGTTCCTATTTGTAAGTATATTCATTTAAAAACATTATAAAGCGTAGGTTGGATATCATAACGTATATCCCTACCACAAATCATTCTTGCAAAAATAAAAACAAAATAAAACTTTATTTTTATTTATTTAACTTTATTTATAAAAAAAATCAAAATCATGATACGTTGTCTCAATAAATACACATAGAATAAAAGTAATTTTATTTCTTTCTTCACAATAAATTAACATAATTCATATTGGAAAATATTAATGCTACTTTATCACAGTGCCGTCCAGCTACCTTACAGGTATGTCTCATAACCTAGCTAACCAGTTACCACCAGAGAGATGAATAGATTATAACTGGTGTCACCACTCAGTGTTTATAAAGCATGACACTGTTTTTGCTCTTTTTTTATATTTTTCATGTTATTATGTTGGCCATATTGGTTGGTTGGATAGCTGTCAAATTTGATCCAATCAGATAAGGTTATTTACCAAACAGAGACAATGTGACCAAAAGACCTAGCAACAAGCACACGTTACTGTACTTAAATGTTTATCCAGAAAGTAGTGACTCCATTTGTAATCAATTTATCTCTATGGTTACCACCTGCTCAGTGGGATCATCCTAAACCTAAATTGTTAAAAGTTATGGGTTGAACTCCTATAGGAAAACAATGCACAGCATTTTCATATCCTTTCCAACTAACCTCAAACCTTTTGCTTTCTCCAAACCAAATGAACTGTTTGTTGATACAGTACAATGATTAATCCTAGCTTAGTAAGTAGGCTATGTATTACAATAAAATAGTTGGAGTATTAGAGGTTGTAAAGAATTAGTTTCAGTGCTCAGACAAATCTTGGACAATAAATTAATACAATAAATTAACTTGCCGTAGATTTTCTAAACTCTCTCATGACATCCGAACAAGAAAAGTTGAGATTTAACAGTGGAAAAGTGTAAAATATTATAAGTATATACAGATCATTTTCTGGATCTTGTAACTTAAAAAGGCTTAAATAGATCATCACAATTTCTTACACAATAATAAATAGAACTTTTAACTGTTCATTAGAAATTTAGAAGATTTCTAAAGTGAATAGACTTAAATACAACAACATTTACAAATAATATTTAAACGATTAAAATAAAAATAAACTACTACACATTAAAAATACATAAACTCTGATACTTCTACATTGCATTTCTTAAAGTAGTAAATGCAGAGAAATATAAAAAAACATAACAAAGTTCTTTAAGAGTAGAATGTAATTTATTAAGTAGGAGATAAAATACATGTGAAATAGTTTGTGCAATAAATATAGAAAGGTACAAGAATATCACCATCTAACCACCAAAATATCAAAGTAGGATAAGCTTGAATAAAATCTAAAATGACTTTCAATTCCACAAACAGCACGATAATTAGTATCAAAACAGTTAACACTATTACATTACCATTTATGATATTGCATAAAAATAAATATTTTGATTTCAAACATTATTTTGATATTTAACGTTCTTGCTTGTAGAAATAATTTATCATACACAATACACACCAGTAACTAAACTATAGCTTTTTCAACTAAAATAAAAATAAATATTACCATTTACTGTCTTATAAATAATTAATCAATAAATATGAATCAATCTTTAGATAATCTTTTTTAATTTCACTATTTGAAATATAACAAAGTATAAACCCTCCAATGGGTGAAGTGGAAAAATTATAATATTGATGACAGATTTAAGGAAACTACTTTACTGAATGATCCAACAATTAATTGTGTGTTAGCGAATATGATGAAAATAAAAATAATATTCCTAGAGATAAATTCTAAGCGGTGATTAGTTTTAAAATCACCATACATGATTCAATTGCATACATCCTCAATTTGCAATACAGTCATGATATTTGTTCTGAAATTACAGCATTATGACTTCTTACATTCATGGATGTAGCTTCTTACACATCCATTGTGAATGGAGAACTTTCACAAATGATGGAGGAGCATGCACGTTCCTTGCAGAGTGGATTCACACTCTAATATTCTCTTGACTAGACGTGAAGGTCTATTGAGCAACCGGGACTGGGCAGACGAAGGTTTTGACGCAAGTGTGCGGAAATTCAGGTACAAACACAGGCTCGCCTTCTCTGTCCAAGTACTCCGAGTAGAGCAGCGTGTAGACGCAGTGGAAACCGAGACGTTCTACTGCCTTGGCAGAGAAGTGGCTGGTGCAGTCAACACGTACCAGGGGCATACCAAGCTCCTGGGCCAGCAGTCTGTGGAAATAAATAGTGAAAATTATAGTAGTACAGTTTTGTAAAAATCAGATAGCAATGCTACAGAATAAAAGTTATAGTTTTCTAAGAAATTGGAGAGGGTAGGTGAAAAGTTTGTTATGATTGCTGGAAAGAGGAGGGACCTGTTAATAATTAAATACTTTGAACTGAATTGACGACCATATGAAGGTGGGTATTTTAAGCCAAGTATGAATGGAGATGAGTGGCGCAATCTTGTAGTCTTGTTACTGACAAAGGCCCCTCGCCCACTATACGATTTCGGTTGTACGACACTGTGTCGGAACGACAACATTTCAACAGTGAACCATTGGATCTTATGAGAGCTCGCCCACTGTACGATAATCTCACGACTACGACAAACTGTCGTGAAGCAGTCATCCACTGCCATACGTGTTATATAGTCAAAGTGTTACATAGTCAATGGTAAAAGCTAGATGGACGCCCACTCCTTGAGGTATCCATAGTCAACGGTCCATTTGGTTCACATAAATGGGATGTCTTCTTGCAGTATATGGTGCATAATGCGTAAATCACTATGACTATGGTGTTTCATGTATCAGTCAAGTCTTAAGATAGTGATCGAAGTTTTAGAGTCAGCTTCCCTTGAATCATACCCATAGTTATTCACATGTGGTAAAAATATAAAAATCTTTTCTTTTGAGGGTTATTGGGCTTTTAGGCATATCATGGCCCAGAAGGAGAAAAACAATTTAAATTTTGCTTTTTTAAGACTTTGGAAGTTCAACCCATCCAAAAGAAATCTGTCTGATTCATTGTACAACACAAATTGTAGTATGTAACATAGTTCTTAAACATAGTTAAATACGGGTTTATCTCTGAATTATTTAAACCCAGATTAAAATTGTTCATCCAAGATTTGATAATGCTTCTCTGATATCATGAGTTTTGATTCCTTAAAATGTCTTATGTAAATATCTTTTATTTTACAAAGACAATTTAAATAAGGCAGCCAGGAGATCCTCGAACATACTCTGAAAATTTACTTAAATATTGTTAACACTGTCTGCATTTTTTTGGAGGGGGCATAGGCTGTATGCCCCTCATGTTATATTAAACTCTGAGGGGAATCGTTTTGAAACACAAATTTGAACGATCAACTTACTTAGTTTTTTCAAAGAGGTTCTTGGCAATGCCGTGCCCTCTGCAAGCGTCATCTACGGAACAAACCCTGATGTCTAGCAGTTTGTCAACCTGGCAAAGAAAAAGTACATTAATATAACTACTTATGCTTGCTACAAACAGAAATAAAGGAACAAAATAAAATAGAATATTAGAATTTGAATGTGTCATCATCAATCAGTATTCATATATTATAAGGATTATGATTCTGTTTTATGATAGACATTTTCAATTATACAGTTTATTATCTGCAGGCCTACACAAATTCTTAGATTTTAGTATATATTGTGGAAGGTTGAGTACCAAGTAATATGGTGAACATGATCATCACAACCAGTGTTGGATCCAGTGATGGTCAGGATGCATTAACATAATATGTTTGCCATGGATTTCAAACTCATGCAACTGATCACACAAATGACACTATATTTATTCACTTTTCAGTTGGTTTAGGTTTATCCGAAGGATTTTTAGGGATATTTGCAAGCCAATAATGCTTAGATCCTTAGTTATAATTTTTAGTATTCCAAGGAAATTTACCTTCCTACCACAAGGTATAGAGAAGAATGATCATCATCATGATTTCTATACATTTTCCGTAGTCATAAACTTTCCAGTGCGGGAACGCTAACACAATGTTTCAGGAAAAACACGGGTTGCCTAGTAATGTATAGGATTTTATGAAAAAGGAGAGTTGGAACACTGTTCCCACATGTTCCTGTCCCACAAATCACTGATATGTGAAGAAGAGACAGAAAAGGTGAAATGTTAGGCCGGCCACACACAGAACCAGGCAAGGCGGGGCGCGACAGGGCATTTTGCCCCGGTGCGTCTTGTGCGACGGGAATTGCATGGGCGCTTATGGAGCTCCACACACAGGACCAGGCGAGGCAGGGCACGTCGAAAAGACGCCCCCGGGCGCCCTCAGGGCAAAATGCGAAGGTCTCCAAAGTTATGCCCCGAGGCAAGTCGCTGCTGGGCAGAACTTTCTGCGCATGCACGGTCATGTGATTTAATCCCTTACGGGCTAATTTTGATAAGGATTATTTTACAACTGATACAATTTACATACAAGACTGTAACAATTTATACGACCAAAGATTACACCCTTTGATAAGTCTATACAGTGATGATATTACTACAGTGGTTGAATAAATTTAGCTTGGTATTGATAACTGAGGAAAGAGAGGGCCATCGTTCATATATTAAGGGTTCAAAAACCACTCCTCTGGAGGTATGACTTTGAATTTTGTTTTCTATTCTGCTCCCAAGTATAAAGTCAAATTTAAAAGTTGGCTAAATCGGCTCAAGGCTCAGGAATAAAAAATCCTATAATAATTTTCAGGTTTATGGGGGCTAAACTTTTTATTTGACGCGCCCTGCCTCATTCTGTGTATGACAGCAACAAGACAGGGCTTAAGTCAGGCGTCTCGTCGTGCCCTGTCGCGCCCTGACCCGCCTGGTTCTGTGTGTGGCCGGCCTTAAGTTTATCTAATTAACGTTTTGCTTACATCAACTTCTAGAAGGCTCTTTTCAAAAGAAACAATTCTGTGTCATTTTCCTTCCTTAGTGAATCCCAAACTAATTTGATTATTGCTTTCTTGTTCTTTATGAGCTGATTTTTACCTCTGAGAACTGCCCGAAGACGTTTGACTCATTGTAGACAAACTTGAGCAGCTTCTGGATCTTGTCGAACTTAGGATTGGAACATTCTGTGTTGTCCTTGTCACAATCCTCGGGCTGTCGAGACAGGACTCCGTTGATGCAGACTCCCAAGAGCTTACCACTGGGGCTGACGGCCATCAGGGACACACCTTCAAGGAGGAAAAATGTATCAAGCTTTTAGCAAAAAACAAAATCAAAGCTTAGAGATTTTGATTTTGATTTGATTTTCAATCAAGGTTAGAGACAATTATTATATTGTTTACCAATATCTATTTTTGTGATAGGGGTGCAGAGGTACATAGGCACAATCTTTTTTAGTATTATATGTTATAGCTCAGGGTTTTATTCCCTTAGGTCCCATGTTCCAATCCCACTAATCAAATATTTAGTTGTCATGCATATTTTGGCAAAATGAATTTAGCTATTACGTAGTGATCCCTTGGGTCAAAATAAAAAGAAAATCAAGAATAATATTTTCCCAAAATCGCTTTGTAAACCAGATATCTGCCATTTTGTATTTTATACATAAACATTTTTATCTTTGAAAATTTTCAACCGATCTTTATGAAACTTGGTATGTGTAGAAGAGACCCATGTTAGAAAAAAATGCATCTTGATTCAACTTAAAATTTTCAAATGGTGGCCATTTTAATCTTTTAAACTTAAATTACTAAGAAATGGCTGGTTTTATTAAAGAAGAAAATTTTCAACCGATCTTTATGAAACTTGGTATGTGTAGAAGAGACCCATGTTAGAAAAAAATTCATCTTGATTCAACTTAAAATTTTCAAATGGTGGCCATTTTAATCTTTTAAACATAAATTACTAAGAAATGGCTGGTTTTATTAAAGAATGTAAAGAACACTTTTATTTAGCATTTTTAATTCCCTATGAAACGATACCAAGTTCAAAAAGTTCGATTAAGAAATAGTTGAAACATTAAAATTTTTAGTTGTGAAATGGGACAAACCTGACTAGCTTCTGCCTTATTCTACCAAATTTTACAAGTAAGGATTTATCAAAAGGATTTACAGTCAACGATCGAACGTTGACAGTGTTTACGAATTTAGCGCCTGGAAATCGCGAATGCTTGTCCCCAGATCGTCCAGTTTGCAGTACAGCCAAAGTAAAAATGAAGGCGTTTTCAGGATACCACTCGTACAAGTAGAAAGGGCAGAGTGGCGCGTTTATACAATGACATAATAATAGTATACAGGGAAACAAAGTCCCGACACCCGGAACGGTTAAATATTTCTAAAAGTAATAGTTTTACAACTGGGTCACAGTTACTGGGCAATAAAAGAGATACCAGTGATAACCTCTTCAGGTTTACGGCCCACTAGAAGTCAGAAGAACATGTTAAACGTAAGCATAGGTTGATGTACACATAAAATTAAAGGTCTTTACTAGTAGAATATATTGCCGCGAACTTGGACTCAAACGTACCATAGATGTGTTGGTTAGTCTATGGGACTACCAAGTCAAAAATCGCAGCAGTACAAAGATCTCTTGAATCTGCCATTTTGAGTCTTTGAACGGCTGCCATTTTATACGTAAAGTAAATAAAAGAAACGTCTTATAATGCAAAACATATATTTACGCTTATACTGTTACTCAAAAGACGGTAAATATACGGAGTTTCCAATCGAAATCGATCACCACTTACCATCTTTTTTGTATATTTACCATCTTGAGAGTAACAGTAATACGTAAATATGTTTTAAGTGTTATAAGACGTTTCTTTTATTTACTTTCCGTAAATTTAATAACACGTACAATGCTGATCAAGAAGCCATTTTATTTGGTTGTTCTTTTAAGCTCAAATTTGTGGTATTATATTCTACTAAAACACCTTAAATTTTATTTGCGTATCGATTATGCATACGTTTATGTTTTTCTGCAACTTCTAGGAGGGGGCCTCCCTGAGGAGGTAGCGTATAATAGCAATAATGCAAATTTAATGCATCTTTGAATAAGGTTTAGCTGTAATTTTTGACTCGGTTGCACGATTGAGTTCGAGTTTGTGGCATTGTATTTTGCTAACAAAGATTTTTGATTTGATGTGCATATCAATCTGTGCTTACATTTAAGATTTTCTTTTGAATCCTAGTAGGCCGTCCCCTTGAAGAGGTAGCGCATCTTTGAATAATGTGTTAAAATGATCTTAATGTCCAGTAACTTTTTAATGTCCAGTTTTAAAGCTCTATCTATATTACCATGGATAAAACATACTCCCTTAAGTCTATGATATTACTTTTTGAAATATTTAACAACCCCGGGACTTTTTTCCACTCTGTTTAGAACGAGGTATGGTATGGTTAGACGAATTGGAATCACAGCATTAATCGAGAATGAATGAATGCCAAGAGTTCTTTAACGCAAACTAAAGGCATACTACACTATAGCTTAGCGGTAGGGTCGATTGCCTTGAAATACAAAAACTTACAATATTAATTTGGAATCCTACTTCCTACTAATATTATAAATGAGAAAGTTTGGATGTATGGATGGATGTATGGATGTATGGATGTATGGATGTATTTTTGTGACAAGTGAACGCGAAAAATACTGGTCGGATTGGGCTGAAATTTGGCATGATGATAGCTCACATTCCCGATTAACATATAGGCATATTCTTATTTCAAAAATGCTTTCGGGCTCCGCCCCAGTGGCTCTGGAGTTTCCCATGTTAACCTTATGAGAAATGGAATTATTGAATCCTAACAGCTGTTTCAATTAAACAAGTTGGTTCTGTTCTATGATGTTCAATAGCATTAAAGTTACAAGGATCACCAACAGGGTGCAGCACTATTATTTCTTTTACATTTATGACAACAGCTAATTTGCAACCAAAAGGTGAGTGAGCGTAGCGAACGAACTTCAACCTGGAGGCGAGTTAGCGTAGCGAACGAGCTAACCTGAAGGCAAGTGAGCGCAGCGAACGAGCTCCAACCTAAAGGTGAGTTTGCGGAGCGAACGAGCTCCAACCTAAAGGCGAGTGAGCGTAGCGAACAAACTTCAACCAGGACGTAATTGAGCCATGCGAACGAGTTTATCTTGAAAATTAAGAAGTTAAACGGGGCAAAGCCCGCGGGTTACAGCTAGTAATTTATATGTTTTGAACGTAGCTCTGAATGTATGTCTTGAATAGACTTACAAGGATCGTATTTTTATCTAACACCGTACATACAATAACAATGCAACAAACGATAATTTATGGAAAGAAAATTAACTCCACTCGAACACTGTGGTGAAGTGTGAATGTGTGCGTGTGTGCGTGTAAAGTGTAAGGTTTCTGATAATTGGAGTATCAGGTCACTTGAAACGACACCAACGTCTTAAGAGCTTGGCCTACTTGGAGTTGACGTAGTGGGTTGTGGTTGGGAAGGGTAGTTTTTTTTTATCTCTTGTCTACGCCTTTGGCATATTTAGAGGAGATAAAAGAGATTGACACTTAAACGTTTTTTTGGGAAAGCGGTACAGAGCCATTCTCAATAGAACTTTGCACCGATGAAGTGCACATGGTCCTAGAACATCCCCATTCCAGTGGAGTTTCGGCTCCCTGAACTGGAACATCATGAAACAACAACAGTCCGAGACGTAAACATCTAGAGCCCAGCAACACACCGGTAGTGGTGCGGTACACAGATTATAGGGTATTTGGTTTATAAAACAGGGTACAATATAAACCAAGTTCAGTAGAGAACGCAATAAAGTACACAGTTCAATTTTGTCTATGGGAGTATGGGACATACATCTAAACCATAATATTCAGCCTGCTTTCGTAACCGCATGGTGCTCTTGGTTCTGAGAAAATTCCAAGAAAATAATGAAAAAGTCCATTTCAGCCACTGGAGGGAATAAAATTACCTATTATACCCTGTCTTAGGTTAAGTTGTGGCAGTCTAGCTGAGAGGTCCAACAGGATAATGGTGTGACACCCTGTCCTGTTCCACCCTTACCTTCAAGTAGTCTGCATCAACCTAAACTGAGATAGGTGCCTACTATAGGGTACTAGGGTTTCCCCACTACGGTACCCACCGTCCGGGATGGAGTCCAGACAGTACTGCTCCAGATCCGGACAAGTTTCCTCGGGCCCGTCCAGAAGTCCTACGCAGACATTCAGGGGCTCGTCGCGGAAGAAGAACCGTCGGAGGAAGTCAAGCACGCGGTCGCTATCCCGGTTGCTGATGGGGACAATGGAGTAGTCTATGGCAGACTTGTTCACGGTCCCGTTCATAGTGGCTGGCTCGGCGGACTCGGACACCTGGAAAATATTAGGAGATTAGAGTTATGGTGATCGTAAGATAAGTTTCATATGATAAGTCAAAGAAATTGGAGTGTGAGATAAAAGTAACAGGAACAAAGAAGTTGGAGGGATCAAAACATTAGTGTCCTAGAACATTGCATTGTGAAAAAAAATGCTCAAACTGAAAGGGAAAAGAGAGTTTTCCTGACACCTAGAACGAAATACAAGTTTGCCTTCTCCGAGAAATTTTCCAGAGGGCGAACTTGGAATAGAATGAGAAGCGGTAAAGGGAAGAATAGATGTCGGAGGGATCAAAGTGTGAGGTAGGCTTAACACATTTCCTTCCATGTAACACAAGTCACCGCATACAGAGGAGTATGCCGGCTGGTAGTCAACTTGTTAACAAGAGCACGGGAGTACGTATTTTAGCATGTTTACAAATCGGTTGTACATTTATGGGTAGGATCTTGTTAAATGATTAATTGTCTGTATGGCTTAGTGTTTGAAATATTTTTAGATTGAGATTTTCTCGCTCGTAACAAAAGGTTTGGGATGAGAAATCTTTGGGTTATACCAGAAGAAAGGGGGAAGTGTGGCTGAATCAGTTATATATGGTTATTCGGCAAACATCAAACAGTTATTTTGTTTGTTTTAGATTTATTACAATTGATATACACAATCTTATCTTGTGAAGCTCATTAACTGTTGTGTAAGTCCTAACGTTTATCTACGATCGAATGTAGGGCGTAGCACGAGCACTTACGTATCACAGAGACGTAAATGAGATATATGCATAAGAAAGGTTATATTACTTTGTACAGTACTTTTAAGTGTAGCCTATATTGTGATCACAAACAAAATAATAAATAAAAGTGTAAAATGCAAAATTTGGAAAATATTTGAAAGAAAAGTTCACATTCAGATAGCTTAAAATCGCCGTTTAGGTATCTTAAAGCGATGAATGAAAATAATTTTTCAATGTTACGTACGGTATCTAAAATTTTTCATTAAAATGTATCTTTAATTATTGGACTTCACATACATTAATTACAAAATAATTTAAAAATTGTGTTGGTTGTACAGTTGGCGTCTAGTATTACTTGCAGTTCTATGGATCAATTCCAACCAACACGAAGCTATCAAGCTTCACCTTTTGATACACTTCGGTAAATATGTGCAATTTATAATATATCTAGTAAATTTACAACTATTTTGATTAATCAATGATTTAGTTTTATTTAGCCAAGTGGTATCCTTCATCCGGATACCTATCAAACAGTCATCGCTTTAACCGGGCGTTGTAAACATTGACGATTTCAACCGGTTATTTTTAATTAGACACCGTTCTAACCAATCGTGATGTGCTGAAACTAAAAAGTTGTTTTTCTAAATTCTAAATTAAAATCAACTCGATTCCTCCGGCTACCCCTTGCACCCAAGGATCTTACATTTGCGATTAATCGGGAAAGGAAAAAAAACTAGTTTTAGAACGCATAGTTTTATCTGGGCACATCCAGTTCCGATGTGGTATGATAAGAGTGAGGCTGATGTATCATGTTTTACGCCCCCATCAACTGTCAAAATATTAATACCCACGCCACAGCAAACCTGCAGCTTGCAAATTTACGTTTGACTGATTATTTTTTACTAAAATATCTCATTGAGGCAAAAGATTGTTTTTCCGTAAATTATTAATAGAGTTTGGGAAGAAATAAATAAATTGTAAAAATTTGATCAAATATATACAGAAAAAGCGAACTACTATAGTTTACCTATTTCCTTAAAAATAAGATGGGAATTTGAAATATTCAGTTAAATATTCAGCGCAAAACAAAGCTTCAATATACTAAATTATTTGTTTTGTATGCTTTGCAAAATGTTTTGGAAGAAATGTATTGCAAATATGAATTTGAACGGATGGTGTTTTTGGCCTCTTGGGACCTCAAAGCAAGAAAAGAGAATCGGTCCACCAGGTCTTACCATAAGACTACGGTAATAGCTTATTCCCTAAAAAATAATATATATTTTGTTTTTTTTTATGGGAAATTCACTAAAAGTGGTAAAATATGTAATAAGAAAAAGGGACAATCGCATATTATTTCCGAACATCATACAGGTACACCCTCGTTAAAACTAGCAACAGCTCTATGTAAACGGGATGTCTACTATCCAAAAACTATGATAGATGTTGTTACATTTCCGTTTAGGATATATTCATTTATGAAACCGGAATAAAAATGAACTCCATTGCCTATGGTTGAACCAAGCCGTGGCTAAATTATGCAGGACATGACTAAGTAAAATGGTGACAAGTTTATTATTGTCTTAGTTTATCCATATATTTCCTGACATTCGTTATATATCCAAGCCTATCATTATTGTTATCATATTGCCATTTGTAGAATTATTATAATTTTTTAAAAGAGTGACATAATACTTAATCTAACATTCATAAATACCTGGCAAGTTTGTGAATGAAAAAGAAAAACACAGTTTGGAAACAGAACTTAATTCGATAAAGTTACAACAATGATAAAGTAATTCAAATTCCTTGGTTTCTAAATTATGCGAGTAAAAATTAGTAATAATGACAAAGTGGGAAACTTGAATGTGTTGTATTTGAAATAGAGTAATCATATAGAATTCGGTTATAGTAGTTAGAAACTAGTTAGTTATGAATTTTAATTGATAGCAACGCATACAAGGTATATGCAGGATAAACTGCCAACCAATAAAGTAAGCATTATACTATAAAATTACTGTATATATTAAATTTTATTACTTATTGGTTTCAAAGAACCTAGATTGCCGACGAACCTAGATAAAAATACCTAATTTTTTTCATTGTAATTAGCTGCACAGTGTATTTACTCTAATTTAAAGAATCACACAGTACGCTCAAACGTAAGCAAACGTAACAAGGTAAATCTTGTTTTTCAACAAATATATTCCTAATCATTCGAAATTTATTCATGAAAGAACAAAAGCAACTATTTTACGACAATATTTTAAATAGTATTTTACGAAAGTGTTATACTAAATAATTGATATAGCTTGGCTACAATTACATAAATATTGAAGAGTCAAGAGGTATATGTATTGCGTTGACGGTGCTTCTTAGAGCCACCAGTCCAGGATTTTAGAGAGCCTCTCAATCCAGCATGTAGTATTAAATTCGATGAAGAACAAATCATTAAACCCTCGTGTCTAGCAATAGAAAATACTAACGAACGAAGAACCCCGGTAACTATCGAAATTTAAACGGTGAAGCGACGTCAAATTGTTAAGGTGTGTAATGTAAACGTCTACAAAATATTTTGTACTTTGCTCGACTACGTTGTCTTTGGCGGCGTGAAGAGTGATGAGTTTTGATTTTTTAGAAACTGAAGAAGATCAATATGGACATTTTGAAATTATAAAATAGTTGAATGAACTACTAACAGCGTTTGTTTCTGTCAAAGATCTATATTCTGTTTTGATACTTTTAATAGTTTATGTGACTCATAGGATGGTATAGATTGCATGAAGTGTTACTTCGAGCTTTGCTTGCTTAATTAGCGGTTTCAGTAATTGACAGAAAACAGTAATAAAATTGACAAAACGTACTCTGTGGAGGGCTTAAATCAATTACGTCAATTTTCATAAAGGCAGTGTTGATAACTCCGTTGACCTTTTTATACCACATCTTTTGACTTTAGCACAATTATTTTATTCATCCCCATTATAAAAATGCACTTTGAACCAAGCCACTAGGTGCGCTGACGTAAATTACTATTGGTTTTTAACCACAGTCAGATTGTAAACAAGAGACTACACAATTCATTAAATGTTCGGTACGTATTTTAATTAGGCTTATTTTTCGACAATTGTCACGTAGATTTGATTTATGTGGGTAAACTAGTAGTTCTGTTCAACTGTTCTAAACAAATACATAGTTTTGAAAAAGTAAATGATATTGCACTGGCTTCATTTTGCCTCGGAAACAAGCTTTTGATCCTAATACTAAATTGCGAAATTTGCACATGGGTCAACCCCTCTTAAACTATACAGTTTCCAAATTGTCATGACATATATTGTGGAATTGTTCCTTGAGCTAAGACAAACATAAAATTCCACATACGCAATCTAATAAAACTTAACTTAAGAGCAGTATGTAGACCTTTAAAATTGCATAATGGAATGTAGAAAAAATTGATAACTCGGTTGTTTGTCATCCAATTTTTACAAACAAGGTCTCATTTAATTTGGATTTAAATTTTCTATCTTGTTGATCCTAAAAATAGTTTCATGAAATTTGGCATTTAAAGATTTTAAGTGGGTGCCATATTAAAATGGCCTGAGATATTGGAACACAATTGTTTAAGCTCTTTTTACCTTCTAAACTACACACTTATCAAACCTTGAAATTTCGATCTTGAAAAATGCCTAAGATATAAATTAATTTAAAAAATCACAAACAGAACGACAGACAGAACTCTAGGCATTTTAGACCCAAACTTATATAGCATTTTATGTTTGTCTTAGCCCAAGGAACGAGTCCACAAATGTCCAGACAATTTGGAGACATCCTGTAAAATATCTACACTATGTAGTCAAAGGTACTACGCTGTACTACGTTGTATGTGACGGTGTGAAGCGTAACATAGACTCACGTCGTAACGTAGACATGCGTCGCCACGTCTCCCGGCATGCCTGTGCGTGACACCAACACTTCATCTGCTACTCACTACTCACTACTGCGCACTAATCACCACTTCTTCTTACTTTGATTACATCAAACTATTTACTACAAGTATCTACCATCAGGTTGCTATAGATCAAGCGTAATCTGACATATCGATTGTATACAACAGTTTATTACTGAATAAATACAACAAATGAATGATACGTGCACATTAATATTGTTTGTTTACTTTGTTCGAAATATTTGACAGTCCAATTAAGATAATAAGGGGCAATCAAGTAGTTTTAGAAAGAACACAATTTTAAGTTTTGCACTTTGCTAAAAATATACATCC